CACATTATCACAGTTTATTCACTATAGTTTAGAAAAGGGTAATAAAATATGACAATAACTCAAGTTAAACAAGTTAAAGTTAAACTGTGTCAGAACAAATTCATCTTGATAATGTCAGATAACACTTAAGCAAAACATGGTCAGGTCAAAGCATCTGAATAATTATATATATATATATATATACATATATATTTTACATTTGTTTACACTCAGAGTTTGTTGATAAAAATGTTATTTATGTTATTACAATCCATAATTTAGTGTTGAGCAGTTGTTTGGTTTGATGGGTGTCGTTCAGTTCAGTTTGTGAATCATGAGACACTTTAAAGTTTCCGCTGCTGCTCATGTTGCTTCTTTCACATGTTTAAAATAGTTTGTCATGTCAGTTTATGTGAGGGTGTGATGAACACAGGAAATAAAACCCTTGACTGACACTTCTAGAAGATACTGTAAAGTTTCCACTCCACATATAGATACAGCAGCTTTTAACAGTTAAGAAAGACTCTTTAATAGCAGCTCTTAAAGCTGTTCAAATGACTGTGTTTGACCTGCTTTAGATTTGTACATGCAAGACACATTTGTTGTTTTTTTTTAGTTCATTCGTGCTCATGGTCATTTTTCTGATATATGAGTTTTAAAATAGAATCATATATTTTATTAATTGAAAAATAAACTTTTTTTTTGCTATTATTTCTTGTTTATTGGTCTTATTTCAAGTTGTAGAATCAGAGAATCAATTATTATTTACATTATTTTTTTATATTATATTTGAATTGTCAAACATTGTCATTGCATGGCATTGACTCTCATTAACAGCTTCAACACAGACAATGACTGAATCTAGTTTCCATAATGATGAAATCAACATTATCAGAGAAATATCCAGAAATACAGTATAAAAGCATGATTATCTAATTATCATCATGAAAGACAATGAGAAAAGTTTGTACTTTCTGCAAAAGAATAACATCTGAGTCTGAGTCTGAATAATAATTTTATGAACTTTATTTTGTATTACTCTCAGGCCTGATCTTAATATTCACAGTATACATGCAAATGAACAGTAATAATTAGCATTTTTCAAATGATTTGTTGTTATTGTAATATTCAGAGACTTGAAAATGACGTTTGACGTTTTCTGTCTCAAAGTTTCTCACAAATGCTGGAGGTGTTTTTGTGTTTGCATGATAACAGGCTGCTTTTCCGTCCATCTCAAAGCCACAGAAAACTGGTGAAGGTTCAGGGTCTCAGTTTGGTTTGAGTGTGAAGATTAAACGGCTTTATTCAGGAAACCCACAGCGAGACACATGAGACTGAAGATGAACATCGATTGTGCAGAAGACAAAGACTAAGAGGTGCTCATTCAGTGATTCACCTTAAAATTACTGAACGTGTTCTTTTCTTATCAAAAAATTGTCCACGTGTGTTTTGACTTTTTCTTTCAAAACCAGATCAAACAAAATCAAAACAATGAGCTCACAAATCACTGACAGAGAATGTCTGTAATAATCTTTAAATGTCACACATTAATATTGTTAGTACATTTATAATAATAATAATAATAATTCATTACATTTATATAGCGCTTTTCTAGGCACTCAAAGCGCTTTACATTGAGAGGGTATCTCCTCATCCACCACCAGTGTGCAGCATCCACCTGGATGATGCGACGGCAGCCATAGTGCGCCAGAACGCCCACTACACACCAGCTTACTGGTGGAGAGGAGACAGAGTGATGAAGCCAATCAGCAGATATGGGGATGATTAGGAGGCCATGATGGTCAGAGGCCAATGGGCAAATTTGGCCAGGATGCCGAGGTCACACCTCTACTCTTTTCGAAAGACATCCTGGGATTTTTAATGACCTCAGAGAGTCAGGACCTTGGTTTAACGTCTCATCCGAAGGACGGAGCTTGTTGACAGTATAGAGTCCCTATCACTACACTGGGGTGCTAGGACCCAAACAGACCACAGGGTGAGCACCCCCTGCTGGCCTCACTAACACCTCTTCCAGCAGCAACCTAGTTTTCCCAGGAGGTCTCCCATCCAGGTACTGACCAGGCTCAGCCCTGCGTAGCTTCAGTGGGTAACCAGTCTTGGGCTACAGGGTGATATGGCTGCCAACAGAGAAGACAGCACACGCTGTAATAAATTCAGACTTTATTGTAGATGTTTTGATAAGAGTGGGCTCTCCCTCACTCTCTGAGCCTGCTTCTGCCTCATCTTCAATGGAAGTAGGGGAGAGTGGGGTAAGTTGAGCCAATTGGTAAGTTTACCCACCCCCTGTATCTTGGCAACTGTACACTTTTACTGTCATGGGACCATGTTTTTTTGGAACCACCCATAATTTCTGCCAGACTGTGAAAAGGAGAAACACATTGGGGGAATGGAAGGCACCCGTTTACTTTAAAAACTGTTTTTGGCTTGTCAAAGTAAAATTTTAGCATAACAGATGTACTGTACCGCTCCCTAGTGGAACACATTATGGTTGTTTTGACTGAGTTTGATTTCTCAGAAATCAGCGTGTGGATTTGTAGAGCTGTGCGCATGCGCGTGGATGCTTACGCAATCTAGGGTCTGCACCCCACCGAGCGCTGATCCAGACAGAGCTTCTGGTGTAGATCTTCAGTGGATCACCTTAAAATTACTGAAGGTGTTCTTTTCTTATCAAAAAATTGTCCATGTGTGTTTTGACTTTTTCTTTCAAAACCAGATCAAACAAAATCAAAACAATGAGCTCACAAATCACTGACAGAGAATGTCTGTAATAATCTTTAAATGTCACACATTAATATTGTTAGTACATTTATAATAATAATAATAATAATTCATTACATTTATATAGCGCTTTTCTAGGCACTCAAAGCGCTTTACATTGTCAGGGGGTATCTCCTCATCCACCACCAGTGTGCAGCATCCACCTGGATGATGCGACGGCAGCCATAGTGCGCCAGAACGCCCACTACACACCAGCTTACTGGTGGAGAGGAGACAGAGTGTTGAAGCCAATCAGCAGATATGGGGATTGTTAGGAGGCCATGATGATCAGAGGCCAATGGGCAAATTTGGCCAGGATGCCGAGGTCACACCTCTACTCTTTTCGAAAGACATCCTGGGATTTTTTTAATGACCACAGAGAGTCAATACACTTTAAACAAGCAACATTTCCAAGATTTACTTGATATTTAACTGTTTTCAGATTTTCCATCACTATCTCTCTGGTCAAATTTAAAATATCATAACGTATCTTTGTACGGCAGTAATAATTAGAGCTGTAGACTAGTTTGCTTTTCTAAATTCAGACAAAAAAAAAACAAAAAAAAAACCTGGTTTCTTTTTAATCTGGTTTCTTTACTACAACAAAGTGACCTGCTTGTAAATGTCTCAGTGTGTTATGTTTGCAGAGTGTGCTAAAGCTCTCCACTTGTGGTTTTCTTTTGCTCTATGTATATTCATTGGGTCAAACCTAAAACCTTCAACCTCCTGCAGGTGTGATTAAAAAATGAAATGTTTATCTTAGTGACATGGACACAGACTTTCCACTTCCTAAAAAGATGCTGTTAGTTTGTTTAATATATGAAACATAGTAATTATTTTTATAATGTATCCCTATTCAAAATTCAGCTATTCTGCTCCAAAAGGTTTTAGTCAGGTCATCGGAAATATTTGCTAGAGGGAATTACAATATCAAATCTATTTCCAACCAGCTGTAAGTGTGCAATATATATATATATATATATAAACTGCTTTCTTTTCAAATGTTAAAAATACAGCTGTTCAGACCCCTTTGCTTCCTCTAACAGTGGTACATTTTACATTGTTTTACAGCGTGTTCAATTTTACTCTGTGATAAAAAAAGGCGTAAATCTTCTCAGCAGGACAGAGTGTGAATTAATAATGAGCTAATAATGAGATTAATTCTGACTCTGTATTTCGTCCACGGTCTTATTTAGATTTAATATTCAAATATTGCAAGACTGCGATACACACGAGAGCCAATGAGGTTTAAGCACAGTTTAGATCCCTCCCCTTTCTCCTTATATGGCGCTGAGCGGCGCTGCGTCCGTTTGAATTAAAACAAAGTTTGCGGGTGTCTAGAGGCATTTGCATTGATAGGACAGAAGAAGATGATTTCATGTGAGTAATCAATTAAATTTAGACCTGTTTCTCACACAAAGCTGTTTTATGTCTTCAGAAGACTTGCAATTACAGAGCACAAAACGTGTAATTGACTTTACTAACGGTCGCACGCGGGGCTTATGAATCTCTCACTATTTTAAAACAATACGTTAAATAATTATGAAATGCCTCATTATACAGTATGTAAATTAGCATATTAAACATTTTACTCTAAAACTTCTGTAAATATAAACATGACTCAAACAGTAGGCCTATATAACTAGGCCTATACATTTTCTGAAAGAAATGCTGCATGCAAAACTTGCCGCCAAAATACAATAATATGGTTGCCAGGTCTTTAAAGGGGTCATATGATGCGATTTCAATTGTTCCTTTCTCTTTGGAGTGTTGTTAAGTGGTATAATTAATGTATTCCATATGTAGATGTAATATGCAAACTGCAACATTTCAGAGTAAATAAACAGGACGACTATTTTGCCTCCACAATCCCAAATGGTACATATCCAACATGTTTGATATTTAGGACTCTTGCTCTGCCTCTGATTCTCTTTCATCACTGCAGTAATGATGCTGTTTTCTGTTCATCAGCTTTCTGATCACAGTATCAATCTGATTGACAGCTGCAGTGAGATGCTTTAGCGTCACGGGATATTCTGGAGGAAGTCTTCTTGTTGATTCTGGGAAACTTTGGTCCAGTGACTCTGCTAAATATATGTATAAATTACCTGAGTGGAGTATAATAATAAATGATAAGAAACATGATAAATGGATTAATGAAGGAAGATCCACTTTATTTTGCAATGAATATGGAGGCCTCATGATCTACATTCGAGAACTAGACATGCAAGATGCTGGAATTTACAGGATTGAGATTAATAGCCACTGGTCCATCGAAATGACTTTGAATGTGAAAGAAGGTCAGTAAAAAAATTAAGTAAAACTTCTGATGATTTCAAAACTTTTATATATAGAAAATATTATGTGAATTACAGATTCATGTTGTAAAGTGTCAAAGAGAGTGATGGTGAATGTTGGAGAAACTGACAATTTCAGCTGTGAATATTCACAGAATCATATAAATGATGTAAAGATCATATTCAAAGAAGAAAAAGACTCCATTGAGATGATTTACAGCACAAGGAATGGGGAAGAAAGATTCAGTATTTCTGATGACAAACATAAACACATCTTCAGTGTGAGAATCACTGCTGTGACACCAGATGATGGAGGAGTTTATTTATGTGGAGTTTGGATCAGCGGAGACTCGTACAGTTACACAATTATTAACACTGTTCATCTACATATTAGTAAGTACAACACACTCTCAATGAAATCTGGTACAAAACATTCTATGATTGCAACAGATTGAATTACATTTGTGATTGACAGCTAAAGTGGGCGTGTCTAGAGTGAGCGGCTCCTCAGGAGGTGGTTTGATGATCAAGTGTGAACATCCTCAATACAAAACCAACCCAAAATACATCTGTAAAGAATCAGACGGATGTTCAGAGAGGAAGAATCCAGGAGTTCAGGATGAATGGATGGAGAATGGAGATGTTTCTTTATATGACGACACCAGAGCAGGAGTCTTGATGGTGTTTTTTAGAGAGCTGAAAGCTGCAGATGCAGGAACATACAGGTGTGGAGTGAAAGTATCTGACTATACTGAGAGCTTCACTGAACTTCAGCTGCACCTCAAACACGGTGAGCAAACTCAAGTAATTTATCTTATATATTTAAGTATTTGTTCACATTTTTATGTATATTTGTCTTGGTTTATAGATGCAAGATATCCAAAGAGTGTGACTGAATTTGTGTATCTTGGTGGAGAAGTCAACATCACCTGTCAGATCCCAGAGAAACATGAAGTTCATTTCTGCAAAGAGGATAATAATCACACTTATAATCACATCTGCCAAACCATCAGCTCATCTAAAGTGACAGAAATGAATCCTTCATCTGAGAGAAATGAAGAGAGAGTTGTTAGAGTGAGCATCAGTAATGTGAGTGTGAGAGATGCTCAGAAGTGAGAAGTGAGAGGAAGAGAGCAAGCGAGTCAAATGCAGCAGAGGAGATACTGCACAGAGATAACATCTGGTGGTTAAAATGTTTAATGATGATTCAAATTATGCATTATTGATAATTATTGATTGTGACAACACAAAATATCTTGAAAGAAAGCTTTACCATGTTTAGTCTGTGTACGGCTGACTTTTGCTACTCTGTCAGATACATGTATTTGTTAGCATGGCTAGATTGTCTGCTTTATAAATTCACTGCGTTGTTGTAGATGTAGATAATGACACAATGTTTCTGTGTTATCCAGATTTCTCTGTGATCTTCATTATTAGTGTGTGTGTGATTCTGCTGCTGATCGGTGGATTCACTCTGACTGTGTGCAAATTAAGACACAACAGACGAGGTTTGGTCATTTATTATCTGTTGAAACACATTAATAATTAGCTGCTTCAATCTTCAATCAAACTCTCAATCACTGAATGAGTTTCTGTCTCAGATGCTGCTGTACATCTCCAGTTTGTCTTTCTCTTACCGATCAATTCATTTTGTTTTGGGTAATTAGGAAGAACGTCGACATCAGACAAGAGAAAGAGAAAGAGAGAGAAAAATACAATAGTGAGTCACAGTGTAATGAACACATTACTCCAATTCTAAAGTCCTTGCTCTGTATATACTCTATATACTCTAGATACACCCAAGCGTCACTTACGCTCCTCACAAGCTGGTCTACTGGCTGTAAGTGCCTTGAGAAGCTGCTTTAAAGACGCTATAAAATAAGTTATTATTTTTATAAAGTGTTGTCAGTTATTATGTCTTTATCCATGTTTAGTAGTGTGTTCATCACAGTTTTTGTGATAATTACAAGTGTGATATTGTTTTGTCACAGCTAATGATCAATTTTAATTTACACCTCAGTCTCCTCAAAACCTTCCCCCTCCAGCTGCCATTCTTTTAATGTGCATTTTCTCTCTATTTTATCTGCATTCAGTCATCATGTGCAGACAGCAGACGTGATTCTCTCTCAGATCCTGGATCAGCTCAAATGAAGAATCATGATGAATTACCCACAATCCCCTCTGATGAGCTCCTGTACGCTGCTGTCAGTTTCCAGAAGCATGAAGAGTCTCTCAGTGACGCTACAGTCAGATTCAGTAAGATTGAGATTAGCTCTGATTACGCTGCAGTCAGTCACCGCATGACACTCAACTAACTCACTTATAACAGATCATCACACGTTACACCAATATTTTTTAAAAAACATACTATGATGTATACAGTATATATATATAAAGAGTTCAGATGCAAAAGACTCTAAGTGCCATCTGAAATTTTCATCTAAAATGAGCATTTTTATCAGGCTTCTATGTGTAGTTTCAGTAATTTTACTCTATTGGCAATTTATAGGTCCTTTTCTATGCAATTAAAGTGAAATAACTGAAAATAAATATAGAAGCCTGATAAAAATGCTCATTTTAGACAAAAATTTCAGATGGCATTTAGAGGCTTTTGCATCTAAACTCTTCATATATATTTTTTTTTTACGTTTGTTTACACTCACAGTTTGTTGATAAAAATGTTATTTATGTTATTATAATCCATAATTTAGTGTTGAGCAGTTGTTTGGTTTGATGAGGGTCGTTCAGTTCAGTTTGTGAATCATGAGACACTTTAAAGTTTCCGCTGCTGCTCATGTTGCTTCTTTCACATGTTTAAAATAGTTTGTCATGTCAGTTTATGTGAGGGTGTGATGAAAACAGGAAATAAAACCCTTGACTGACACTTCTAGAAGATACTGTAAAGTTTCCACTCCACATAAAGATACAGCAGCTTTTAACAGTTAATAAAGACTCTTTAATAGCAGCTCTTAAAGCTGTTCAAATGTCTCTTTCTCATCTTTCTGAATATTTAGATTTGTACATGCAAGACACATTTCTTGCTCTTTGTCATTTTTCTGATATAAGAGTTTTAAAATAGAATCATATATTTTATTAATTGAAAAATAAACATGTTTTATTTGCTATTATTTCTTGTTTATTGCTCTTCTTTCAAGTTGTAGAATCAGAGAATCAATTATTATTTACATTGTTTTTAATATTATATTTGAATTGTCAAACATTGTCATTGCATGGCATTGACTCGCATTAACAGCTTCAACACTGAAATCAACATTATCAGAGAAATATCCAGAGAAACATCCAGAAATACAATATAAAAGTATGATTATCTAATTCGCATCATGAAAGACAATGAGAAAAGTTACTTTTTGCAAAGGAGAACATCTGAGTCCAAGTCCAAATAATAATTTTATGAATTTTATTTTGTATCACCCTCAGGCCTGATCTTAATATCCACAATACATGCAAATGAACAGTAATTAGCATTTTCAAATGATTTGTTGTTATTGTAATATTCAGAGACTCGAAAATGACATGTTTTCTGTCTCAAAGTTTCTCACAAATGCTGGAGGTGTTTTTGTGTTTGCGTGATAAACAAACTGTTTTTCTGTCCATCTCAAAGCCACAGAAAACTGGTGTAGGTTCAGTGTCTCAGTTTAGTTTGAGTGTGAAGATTAACCAGCTTTGTTCAGGAAACCCACAGCGAGACACATGAACACAGACAGACAGACAGAAGATGAGCATTTATTAGAACATGTCTATTAAAAATACTTTTAAATGTCACCATTATATTGTTTAGTGCATTTAGTACATTTACATGCACATACTAACATACAATTTATGTCAATACTACTTTAACAGAACATAACATAACAGAGTTACTGAATGTGATAAATCAAACATAAGTTTGATTTGGTTATCTTTTTTTAATCAAGGTGTGTAATTTCAGAAAGAAAAAAATGCTCTTTAACCCAGTATTTTTATTTTATTTTATCGTATGTTATTTATTTATTTTATGTCTACTATGTAAAGTGACTTGCTTGTAAATGTCTCAGTTCTTTGTGTTTGAAGGGTGCTTTATTACTGTGGTCAGTGTGCTAAAGATCATCAACATGTGCTGCTCTTCAGCTTGTGGTTTTCTTGTCTTTTCTTTTTTGTCTTTCAAACCAAAGCCCTTCAGCCCCCTGCATGTGTGATAAAAACAGGAACTAGTTCTAAAGTACCCACTGTTAATAACTTTTCCACTCCGTAATAAAGATGCTGTAAATGTGTGGAATATTTGAAAAATAAAAATCATTATAAATAGTTATTTCTCCAAGTTTTTATTGTAGCTGTCTGATTTTCTTACTTGAAGGAAGCTCAGAATTGTTTTTGCTATACAACAAGTACAACCAACTGTAGTAATTAATACGTAAAAATGCATTATTAAATATAGAATCCCTCAGTGCCTTTTGCTCTGTCGCACTGGAACCTCTCCTGAAATAAGACCTGAAATAATACATCAGTGCTTGAAACGGGAAATTAAACAGTCGTTTCTGAACTGTTTTTTGTCTATTTACATTTAGTGCAAATAGCCTGCCTTGTTGGCAGTAATTCCTAGTTGGGCTAGTCAACACTTTAAAAGCGGCTGGTAAAAGATCAGCTTCAGTGGCGCAGATGGTTCAGCGTGTGTCGTAGGCTTTTTGACGCGATCGACCCGGGTTCGACCCCGCCGTTTGCCTAACTTTTTTTTCTCTCGTTTCAAATCTCGTATCACATCATAAAGGCATTTATTTTCAATAAAAATTAAGGGAATAATCAAAAAGTTGAAAATAAAGTATCGGGTAGGGTTAGGTTATGTGTAGGGAGGGCTTTATTGTACCAATAAGGTGGCATCATTTTAATAATTTAAATTAAAATTATAATTTACACTCAATACGTTATTATTGCATACTGTTTTATAATGTACTACAATACCGAAGTGCAGATAATTGCCACTATTTGCAACAAGTAGTATACTTGATAGTAGAAATCCTGCTATTTTAACATAGTGTAAATAGGTATTTGCACTTAGTGTGAATAGCATATTGCTAAAAATACTGCTTTTTTCACTTAGTGTAAATAGAATCCATTGCTAATACGAGATTTGAAAAGTTCGGAAAAAAAAGTTCGGAAAAAGGGGGAATCGAACCCCGGGTCGATCGCGTCTAAAAGCCTACGACACGTGCTGAACCATCTGCGTCACTGGAGCTGGTTTTGTTATAGCCGAGTGTTGATTAGCACAACTAGGAATTACTGACAACAAGGCGGGCTATTTGCACTAAATGTAAATAGACACTGTATTTTTTATTCCAGAGTAAGGGCAATTCATACAATATATTTAAACTGAGCTACTTTAATACCATCTCCGAACTTTCCACCACGACTCTGCTGTTCTTCGGCTGGTTCTTCCCTGTATACGTTGATTGACAGATGTCTCGTCCAGTCAGCGGTGAGTAATCCCAAACCAATGGCGCTGTCTCAAACTATACCTACCTCTTCCTGTTTGTCTGATTTGTCGTTGTGTTTTCTGACTTATTTTGTTTTCGAATTTGTCATTGTGTTTTCTGACTAGTTATAATGTTTTCAGAATTGTGATTTGCTTTGCACTTCACGGCCACCGTA